CTGTCAGCCTTCGGGTTTCTCGTGGCCAACCCTGCACCTCGCAGGGCTTGCTGTGTCCTAGGGGGCATCACACCCCCCCAGCCACTGTCCCCACGTCACTCGGGTCACAGTCCCTGCTCCTGGTCCCCACAGCCAGACCGGGACATGGTTGCTTTGCAGCTCAGCTCTGCGCTCTCACTCTTGCTCTGGGGTCCTGGGCATCCCCTGTGCCCCCCCTTGCCCCCCCGGCATTCCGTGGGGTGCAGGATGGAGCAGCCTGGTCCTGCATCTCCCGGCCATCACACGGTGCTCCAAGCCCCCACCTTTTCCATACCAGGACCAGGGATGGTGGCAAAATCCTTCGTGCATTCCTGCTCTACACTTGCTTGGGGCATCCCCCCCTTCCTCCAGCACCTCGCGGCCCTCAGCCCAAGCAGAGGATGCTCACGGCATCAGCGGCAGGACGGGGGGAAAAGGAGCATTTCCCAGGGCGTAGCCATCCTTCCTGCAGCCTCTCGCCTGCTCTCGGGGACAGTTTTGCTCCCTCCCCCTCCGAGGAGGTTTCCCACCCCTCGCAGCCGGAGGGAGCGTGGGGAGCGGTGCGGGTGCGGGAGCAGCCCATCCCTCCCAGGGACCAGCTTGTGGTCCAGGCTGCGATCCAGCACCGGGATGAAAACTGAAAACACGTAACCACACTTTTCCTCCTCTTTTACAAAACCTCAGGGTTGGTTTTCTTTTGGTTTTTTTTTTTTTTTTTTTTTTTTTTTTTTTTTTAAACTTTGGGATTGGTTCAAGTTTTGGGTAAAGATTCAGGCTGTTTGTGTTTTACCTGAAACGGAGCTCCCCATTCCCTGGAGCAACAGTTCTTTACTGGCTCTTGGAGACACTTGGCACTCTCCGTGCATGAAATAAAAAGCTTTTTCTTTCCATATTTCAATATATTTATATATCTTTAACTGGTTTGGGGAGGGTATGTGAAGGTCAGAGAACTTGCAGAGGTTATGGTGCTGGCCAGGCCCTGGGAACAGCCATCCTGTGGGAACTCATTCCCAGCTCAACCTTCCCAAATCTCTTCCTCTTTTAGTTTGCAAATGCTGGTGCCAATTCACTAAATGTTTTTGGTGGTTTTGTTGGTGTTTTGTTTTTTTTTTTGGTTGGTTGTTTTCTTGTTTTGTTTTGTTTTTTTGGTAAAAATCATCATCAAAATCCACCGTGACCTTTACAGATGTGCCATTGACAAACTGGCACAGTGAAAGTAACACGACCTCAGGCTGTGAACCCAACCGTGCTACCAAGAAGGTGTTTGTACTAACAGAACTTTTACAAGAATAAGCAGTTTTTTTTCAGGCCCCACCCTCCCACCAGAGGCTGGTGCAGCTGCAGGTTAGGGCAGACGGGCTCCGATGGCCTCGTGATGCTCTCCCAGTTTGTCTGGAGGAGTCAGCAACCCAGTTCTTTCTCCCTGCTGAGTACTGACCATCGGCGATTCAGCATCCCAGGGGTATTTTCAGCTGGAGAAGAACCGGTGCCCATCCACCCTCCCGGTGATATTTCACCCCGTTGGGCAGGGTAGCTGCGACACAGAGACCCCAACCCCAAAGCCAGCCCCGGAGCAGAACTTGTCTCTCCAGCAAAACCCTCTTCCCTTTCCATTTGCTCTTGCGCTGAGGTTTTCCTCTGCTTCAAAGCTTTCACAAAGCAATTGGGATCCAGCAGCCGCAGGCAGTTCTGCCCCGTGTTCGGCCGCCCCTGGACCAAACCACCCCGTCCTCCTCGCCAAGTCCCTGCCCTCGCGGGATAAAGGATGCTTTCAGCTGCTCTAAGCAGATCTGCTGGGGGGGAAACCGCTGATTTTCCACGACTTGGGAACATCTGGTTGACATTCTTACATCCACAGGCTCTTGTGTAATTATCCTTATTACCTGATCCGCGTGCACTTTATCTTGCTTTGCGGGCAATTCTGCTCTCCCTCCCTGCCCACACCACCCACCACCGTCAGATGAGCACATGGGCCGCTTTCCTAATTAAAACTCTGTGCTTTCTTCCCCTGGCTCAGGTCTCCCCTCCCCATCTCAGCAGTGGCTGAGGAATGCGAGACAGGAATGCTGTCCTCTCGCAAGGAGCCGGGGAAGGGGAGGGCGGCTATCACTTAAAAACAATGTCTTTGTGTTTCCAGCCGGCTGTAGTCACGCAAGGCCATGCCTGGGTGTGCACGGCCGCCCGCCCCGCGCCTGCTCGCCCGCTGCCTTACCTGGCACCGACACGGCGGAGTTCAGCATCTTCCAAAACCTTTCACCATCACGTCATATTCTTGCAAAACCGGGGCTGGGAGCATCCCATAAATCAACGCCAAGCTCCTCTGTGAACGAGTAGCTCACCTTCCCGTTTCAATTCCTTCCTCAGACCGGCCTCGGAGGCCGGCTGGGGGGGTCTGTGCAGCGCGGAGATACCTCACCACCACCCGGGTACTGTACGTGGGCCAGACGTCGCTGGCAAAGCCCGCGGGGCCGCGGCAGAGCCTGGCACCTTACAGCCCCGCGAGGCGCTTTGGGTGACGATATCTAACAGCTCCGTGTCCAGTGGGCGCGTGGCTGAAGGAAACGCCGCAGGAAAAGGGAGCAAATCTTCTTAATTAAGTTATAAAAATGGTAATTTGCCTTCCGAAATCCCAGGCCATCCGAGCCCGCAGCTCGGTGCTTCCAGGCGACAGGAGCCCTTCAGAGACCCAGCTCAGGTCTTGACGGGTCGGCAGGAGCCTCTCCATCGACTCCAGCGAGCTTTGGGTCTCATCCTGCCCACCAGCATCACAAAGCCAAGTGCTCCCATCCCACCCAGCGCCACGAGGTTTTGCTGCAGAGCAGCTGGGCCAGTTCTGCGTCCGCGTGTCTGTCCATCTGCAGCCCAGTCCTGGGGTTATGGTCTGAGCCTGTTTTTTTTTTTGGGGGGGGGGGGTTCCTGGCTGAGGCAGGTGAAGGCCAGCACACCAGACCTCAGCATATCCAGCACCTCCCTCCCTGCTATAAATACCAAATTAGCATTTGTGCCATTTTTGGCACTGATGCTATTATTTTGCACGCTCGTTAGCTGCTCCTGAGGTTTCTTACCTGAGAGACCTGCCTGTGTTTCTCATTTGCTGGTTCAAGTCACATTTGGGAATGTGCAACCTCTTACGGGCGGAGGATTTCTAAAAGCAAAGGGAAGCCGGAGCCGACCGGGGCTGCGGAGGGGAGAGGAGCAGGCAGCTCTTCTCCGCCGGTGACTCAGAGGCAGAGGGGCAGACATCTGCTCACGCGCAGCCAGCCGGAGGAAAATAAGCTCCATCATTTTACTGACCGGCGGGAAAAAGGAGAAGAAAGGAGCAGCCACGTTTCTGCGCTTGAATAAACCCAGCGGAGCTCTCGGAGGCTGGAATCAGGGACATGCCTGTCGCTTCCCAGCCGTGAAGGATCAGCGGGCAGGGCCGTGCTGCAGCCTCTCGGGGCCCGAAGCTGCGGAGACTTGCCAGGGCGAAACGCCGGGCTGGCACGGGTGAACCCCCCCCCCCCCCCCGGGAGCAGCACCCAGAGCCCCCCGCGCCTCCGCACGGGCATCGCCCCGCCGGCCGGGGGACGGGGACGGGACGGGGTGACTCGAGGGGACACGGAGGAGGAGGAGGAGGGGGGGGGGGCTGCGGCGGCGCCTTTTCCCAGCTCGGCTCTTCGCCGCGAGTCGCGTCCTGGCGCTTGCCAAACAGGTTTTAATTTCCAGAATGTGGGTATGAAAAAGCAACACAACCCCCTCCTCCACAGCGCTAAAATATTTTTTTTTTCCTTCTTTTTAATATACCATAAACGATGACCTTTTACCTCCTTAAGAAGGCAGCCAACACAAGCACAACAATGTGATTTGTGCTGCATTTCAGTTGCGGTTTCTTCAAGAAATTCATCTGGTCTCGAAGCAATTAAGGGAAGGGAAGCATTTCCACTCCGGCTTTGGGCCCTGAAAACCTGCCAGGAGGGTTTTTTCTCTTTTCCTTCGTTCTCCTTCTTTTTCCCCCAGCCCCTGTTGCTCATTTGTCCTAGAAATCTGCTGGGGTTTCCCGTCGGCAGCTCTCCTGAGCGTGTGAGGATAAATCCCGACCCGGCGCAGGTGGGAAGGGTTCGGATCCAGGTCCCCGTTCCCCACGCAGGCGATGGGGTGGGATGTTGCCCACCCGGAACACGGTGGCCAGCCGGACACGGGGTGTGCAGGCTCATCCCCTCCCTGGGCAGCACCATCTGCACCCTCCGCCCTCTCCCCTGCCCCAAATTCAGGCGTCCCTCTGGCAGGGGGGGGCTGTGCCCGGAGGGGGCACCGGGCACGGTGGCGTTGGCCCTGCCGTTGTCACCTGCCTTGTGCCTGGTGTCCCCTTTTAGGGCATTTCCCCGGAGAAATCCCTGAACGGAATCGAAGGCACGTGGGGGTCACAGAGCAGCAGGGAAACGCGCGGGACGAGGCCGCATCCCGCGAGGACGTACGGGTGACTTTGCCTGGGCTGACTTGCAGGAACGGGCCTTAAATTAGCCCCAAAGTCAACGGCACAGTTAATTGCTCATTCATTCCACAGATGGGTTAATAATTAAGTTAAATTAATAATTGGGACAATAATTAAACTAAACAATAACCAATACACGGGACAATTGAAGTAATCGGTCTTCGTGCTAGGTATTTGGTGGGGTTACTCATTTACCGAGCAGTTTATGGGATGGATTCCACACTCGGCCGGTTTGGCCGCGCCGCGCCGTGGAGGGATGCGACTTCGGGAGTCCCGTGAACTTGCAGGGCTTTTCCAGGCAAACCCAACGGCTCCTCCTCGGGGACCCGCGGGGGTCAACACCCCCCCCCCCCCTTCACCTCCGGAGCCTCCCCCACCGCCTGCGCCGGCCCCTCCCCGCGGCGGGCCGGGCCGGACAGACGGAGGGAGGGACAGAAGGACGGAGGGAGGCGGCTCCCGGCCCCGGGGGGGAGGAACTACAAGTCCCGTGAAGCCGCGCCGCCCGCCCGCCGCTATATAAGGGGGGAATGGCCCGGTCGCCCCAGTCGGAGCATCACTCGCCGCGGTGGTGCTGGTCCTGGTCCCCGGGCACCTGCATCGACAGCCGCCTCCCTCGGTGTTGAGGGGGGCTCCCGGACCCCCCCCCGGGGTGTGTGTGTGTGTGGGGGGGGTGGGGGGGGGGGGCTGTGGAGATGAAGGAGGATGAGGATGCCGTTCCCCGCGGGGGGAGCGGCTCGGAGGCGGCAGCGGCGCGGCCCGATGGAGGTAGGTGCCCTGCTCGGGTCGGGGAAAGTGGGGGTACGGGGGGGGGGGTGTCGGGCCCCACGAGCCAGCTGGGGCACCCCCCGCCCTGCGCTTGCTCCTGCCGCGGCCCTTCCCCGGCCCGTTACTCGGCGCGACCCCCGGGGGGGGGTCCCGCTACGGGGTGGGGGGGCCTGAGCCCCACGCGTGGGCTGCGGGTCCCCCCGGTGTCGGCTCCTTCTTCCCCGTTCCATCCGCCTTTGTGTCCCACCGGGTGTCCCCCCCGCAGCGTCCCGGGGGCGAGCGTGGAGGGGAAGGCGAGTGCCCAGTCCCGGCTGGCGGAGAGATGGAAGGAGTCTTCATCTCTCTAAGAAAAACCGTGGGGGGTGATATTTTCTTCGATTTTTTTTTTTTTTTTTTTTTTTTTTTTTTTTGGGACACACACACCACACGACTTTTTCCTTCTCCTCCCGTGGACAAACCTTGTTAGAAAGGCTCACAACGGCTCCGGGTGCCCCGGGCAGGTGCCTGGGCGAGGTGATGGGCGAGTGATGACCCCGGGGGGCCAGTAGCCCCTCTGCACCCCTCGCCCTGCCCTGCGGGGGGGCCCGGGGGGGGGGGTGCTCCCCGGCCCTCGGTGCTGTCTGGCGTGAGTCCGGGAGCGAGGAACACTTGATCGGGGCTGGTGATGCAAGGTATCTGTGATGCACAAGAGCACTTTTGTGCGAATTCTGGAAAAATATGAATAACTCCCTTATTTTGCTCGCTACAACAAAAAGACCACACCAGTCTAGACCTGCAACCAATAACACACACAAAAATTAGTGCTGTCTGCTCCGAGGGACCCAGCGTGTTGAGGAGAACACCAGCCCTTCCAGTGTGCGAGCCCGCCGATCCGTATGGAGGGTGAGGGATGCTTGTGTGGGGAAAGGATGTTTGAGGTTACTTTGATAGAAACAAGAGAAGCTTTTATTGCCCAGACATTGTTAGTGTTGCTCTTTGCTGGCTTGGAATGTGTTTCCTCTGAAGGGTTTTGAGACTGGAGAGATGGCTCAGCTCTCTTGCTAATTGAGACATCTTTTTATAATCACAGTCACAGCTGGTGGGATGGAGGCAGGGGGGAGAGGGCTGGTGTGCAGTGACTCAGGCCTCGGGAAGAAGCTGCATCTCGGTTTGTCTGGCATTGTGAAGGGGAGATTCCAGCTCAGAGGCTGGAGCAGGGTATGCAAGGACGCCTTTCTTCTCTACTGGCAGGCAGGTGATCTTTTCAGGACATCAGCTTTCTCATTTCCATGTAAAACTAGGGATGGGTGGAAAAAAAAATCTCCCCAGGTCTCCCCTATTTACCTCAATCTGCCCCACAGGTGCGAGATCCAGCACTGGTGGTGAGCTTGAGCCCCCTGACAGGGAGACATCGTGGGGCAGAAGGGTGTTGCAATATTTTTTGTGCTCTCCTTTCTCAAAGGCTGTGCTGCAAAAAGAGCCAGAACTGCTTGGACTTGCTCTTGCTATAAAGCTGCTTGTTTACCAGTTGCTTTCCATGTTCAGGTGTCTCAAACGAAAGGTAGGCTGAGACGTGGCACCCCTCAAGCTTTGTTTGATGTCTTGGTGATAACCTTTTTTTGGGGTGCTGTTGAATGGCAGTGGGGTTGCTCTCCTCAGCCCCTCTGACAGTGGGGATAGAAAGTTTTCTGATGGATAAAGGGGTCCCTAACTAAAGCGTGAAGGTGCTTTGCAAGCACAGCGTGTGTGAAGAGAAATACAATCCGTTTCTTGCGCTGGCAGGAGGAGGTAAACTCATTCTTATGGCCAGGAGTGTTCCCTTCGTGGTGTCTGGAGGGCTGTGGGGAAGGAGGGCTGTGCTGTGGGAGCTCCGCGTGCGTGGCAGAAACCTCGTGCGTGGCTGGGGGGAAGCCTGAAGCTGGAGGGGTGAGGTGTTGGCTGCGGCGGGCAGGAGTCATGGGTGGGTTTTTCTGCAGGGCTCAGGTGCTGTGCTCTGGCAGGTTCGATTCCAGAGGCTGAAGATGCTGGTTCTGCAGCCGTTTCTCCTGCCCAACAGGCTGGGAGCAAGTAAATTTACCTGCTGAGCTGGTAAATCAGTGCCAGCGGAGTCTGGAACGGAGCCTCCCACCTGCAGCGACGGGGCTCTGAGCCGTGGGGGGAAACAACCCAAATGGTCTGAACCCCACAGCTCTTGGGCTTTGTCGGGACCCTCTTCGGGGGCACCGGGTTGGGGCGGCTCCTGGGCTGCTTGTCCTGGGAAAGGAGCTTGGCTGAGCCCTCTGCCAGGGCTGTGCTGGAGCTGCGACCTGGAGGAGGTGGATTCTGGGCTGGAAGAGGAAGGATGCCCTAAAACAGACTGGGAAAACTGGCGGTTACGCTGTCGCTTGCAGTAGACATTATGAACGGTTTGAGGACCAGCTATAAATTAAGCTACGTGTGACGGGGGTTTCTCATCCCTAAACTAAACTCGGGTGCCATCTCATCCCCACTTGCCCGCCTCGGGGCTCGGTGTGTTGCAGGGTGCAGAGTCGGGAGGATTTAGGGGACGTTGTGACCTGGGGCTGGGACCCGACTCTCTCCGAAGCGAATGCTTCTCTCTGCAGCAAATCGCAGCTGTGGAATCGGGAAGCCCTGGGCTCTGACCCAGCTCTTCTGAGGGCTGGTTTTGGGTGGGCATTCCTCTTTTGTGCTTGGTTTTAAATATATTTGATGGAGTAGCATCACTTCTCCTTGGCGATGGGTGTTTTTTAGCAGGAACTGGTGTGGATCTAGACTGTTTTGGACTCAAGCTCTTCTATCTGGGGGTTCTTCTATATAAGAAACGATTCGAGTGCCTTAAATTTTAGATCATCAGATGTTTTGGGCCACACCCGCTCCCTCTCCCTCTGGCTCCCTGAGCTCCAGACAATGGGGGGATAATGCCAGGAGCACAATGCAGCTTGCTGGGGGGTTTTTTGTTTGTTTGAACTTTGAACAGAAAAGCAAAGCAACAAAAGAGAGGGCAAGAAAAGCAGAGTGTTTTGCCAGCTACCAAGGCCAGCCAGAAAGTTATAACTGCATTACAAAGGGCAGCCTTGTTCAGAATGGCTTATTTCATCAGAAAGATGCATTTAAAACAAAAATGAAGGGGCAAATGCTAGCATAAAGTCCCCCATGTTAGCATAAACACTGCATGCAAACACTTTTATTACCTCCTATAACTCCCTAATAAATACTGTTCCTTTTTGATGAAAGCTCTTAACACAGGATTAGGGTTTACAGTGCGTCACCTTATTAGTCCCTGGAGACAGAGCCCATGTTCAGTGGCTTCGTGTCCTGCTCTGCAGCCTGGTTTCTGAGCTTCAAGGTTTCTCCCTTTCTTATTTTTGGGTTTTTCCCCCCTGTGGCAGCATCTGAATTGCAGGCAGCGCTTTCCTGGACCAGCACCCAAGAGGAAAACTGGAATGAGTGTGGTTAGGGAGGTTGTGCTCACTTCTAGTTCATCTGTAAGTGTGTCTTCTCCTGAACAGAGCTGATGAGGTGTGAAGACCTCGGCCCCAGGGTTGTGCTGCACCCATGCCCTAAGAAGGTAACATTTTTCTTCTTCAGTTGGCTGGCTTTTTCTGCCAAGCCACAGATGTTTTTTGAGGGCTAAAACCTAAGCCTTTAAATAAATGTGTTTGATCCCCGGGTGGTTATGCAGCTTCCCTGCAAAAAAAAAAAAAAAAGGCCCAGAATGGGTTTTATATCAGGAGCAAATGTTATCTACTTGGGCTCTTTTTAAGTCGTCTTCCTCTGGGGTTTTATTTTTGCCTTCTTTCCCTGGAAGGGGATCAGAGCTGTCATCTGCCAGGTACAGCTGTAGCAAAACCTTCCGTGTTCTTGTGAAGGAGGAAATGAAGAGCGATGGCTCTGTGCGAAGTAAAACGCAGCCTGAGACAACCTTGAACCTCTCAAGCAATGTCATTTGGTCACAAGGGCCAAAAGGTTTTTGCGGGGCAGCTTCAGACCAGCCGTGGGGTGCGTGAATGTGTCCTGGGTGAGAGGGAGGCAGGGTGCTTTGGGACCTCACTGTCACATCCTCTCGGGTCTGGGATGGGGGGAAGCTTCACCGCTGTCATTCGAGTTCACTTCAGCTCCTGCTGGTGGTCCTTGAAACTGCACTTCCAGGCCAGTGTGTTTTCAGGAGCGGCTTCCGAATTTTGGAAGTTTTTTTCCAAACGTGGTGTGAGGGGGAAAAAAACCCATTTCTGGCGTGTGGGCTCATGCTGGCAGCCAGAAGGTGCAGAGAAGGTCCCTTTAGGGTTTGCGGGTTGGATGATCGTGGTGTGTCAGATGGTGTTTTCCTCTGCCCATCTTTGTTCTCCACAGATAAGCTCAGCGCTAGGACTGGCACATGTCCAGGTGGGCTGTACGGCTGTTGGAGGGACAGGAACCTGCTGTCAGCGTCTGGGACCTGGGGTGCCAGTGACACCAAGAGGCGGTCGGACTCGTTTGGTAGCTGGATGGCCAAATGCTTGTCTCTGATGCAACAAACTTGGAAGTAAACTACAGGAATTAAAGCTGATGGGAGCTTTTGCACATTTCCAAGGCTAGGAAGAACAGGTCTCCTTGTCTGCCGGGGGGAGCTTGTACATGAGCTCTAGCAGCTTCCCTCATAGCAGAGCTCTAGCTGGCCACGGACTTGATTTGGCACATGTTGTTCCAGCATCTCCTCAGCGAGTTGGAGGTGAGGAGGAAACGAGGGAGCCTGGTGGAGCGCGGTCCTGGTGAGATGCTTGCACACCTCCGGGGTGGCAGTGTGATGAGTTTGGGTGGGGTGGGAAAATGTCAGCATCTGGGCTGTGTGAGGTGCCAGGAATGCTGCAATGCAGCCCTTGGGGGTGCATGTACACGAGTGTCCTGCTTGGCTGTGCTTTGGAGGGGACTCGGTCACCAGTGGACATGAGGGTACAAAGAGCTGCTATCGGCCGCTCTGGAAGTGGTTGGGATCTGTGTTGGTGCTAAGCTGGAGCTGAAGCTCACCAGCCAAACCGCTGTGGCTTTAGCTCCTCTTTCTGGGCTCTGTCAGACCGAGTGTGTCTGCAGAAAACTCTCCATCGTGGTGGGGGGAGGAAGAGCTGCTCCCCTAGAGCTGGCTGGTGGGTCTCCGTCTGCGTGAGCGGCTGCATGTTGGCCACGGAAGTGTCATCCTCTCTGCACAGGTATGGTGCAGGCTTCCGTCTCGGGGGGTACGTGCGGGTCCTCTGGTATCACTGGCAGGCTGGTGGCATCCTGGGCCATCAGTGGATGTCTGAGTCAAACGTTGCTCCTGGGAGATTCCCCTCTCTGCTGAGGCAGGAGGACCTGGAGGCAGCAGAGCAGCTGGTGCTGGGGAGAAGGTGGCTGGTGTAACTGGTACCTGGGGGAGGCAGGAGGGCATCTCCTGCTCACGGGGTCCGGGCAGCTCCCTTGGCAAGGGGAAACTGGATGGTGACCGTTGTCCTGCCTCGTCTGTTAGTCCAAGTGGTACATGTCAAATCTTGCCAGCTGAGAACTGGGGAGGGGGAGGGAGGGCTTCCCAGCCCAGCAGACTGGATGGGAAATAATGATCCCCTTTTTATAGCTTCTTCAATTGTTCCTGAAAATCCTTTTTAAAAGGAGGAAAGTTCCTTCCTTCCTTTCAGCTCCTGGTATCTTTAAGAATTGGCTCTATTGTGAGCCCAGGACAGAGACCCTTCTATGAGGGCTGCATAGGCGCTCTTCGGAGGCCCCCTCCCCGCACCCCCTCCCACCCCATCCCAACAAGCCCCCATTCTCCTCTGAAGAGGGTCCCTCTGTCTAACGCCAAGTAACTCTTAAGGGTAGCATTTATCCTCGGGCACTCAGCTCACAAAGAGTGCTGGAGTGTCAAATAAACTCACTCCAGCCTGCAAAGAGAAGAGGAAGAAAATACAAAACCCCCTTTATTTCCACCCCTGCAGGGAAACAAATACGGACTTTGTGCTGGAGAGCAGCAGCGCCCTAACGAAGCAGGGTAGTGCGCGTACTAATGTATCTCTAATAAAATTGTGTGTGCACGCACACGTGATAGTGTGTGCGTGGACCTGGCAGACGAGCGATAAATCAAAACCCCTCCAGACAAGTGTTGGCCATCCTGCGTGCCCGCTGCTTTCTAGGCAGAGCCGGTCACCGCAAACTCTGACAGCGTGTCGGTGGCTTCTGTGGGTTTGCTTTTGAAGAGCGGGGCAGGGAGGAAGATGCTGGTTCTGACCTGGGTCTTCTGATGAGGTTGTCACCAAAGGTAAGGGACAGGGGGTGTGTGTGTGGGGGGGTCTGTGCTCGGCCATGCCTTCAGCAGACTCTTTAAGCTCTGACCAGAGCTTTGGGAAGGGCTCAGCGCAGCTGAGCTCTGCTGCAGGTGCTGATTTCATGAGGAAGCTGTTGCAGGAGAGGGATTCAGCTCCTTGGCCTGCCGCGGGGGACTCGGCTCTGGGAGGTGCCCATGCTGCACACCCTTTCAGCTGGCACGCTGCTGTCGGAGTGAATCGTCACCTTTTTGTGAGCTCCATGGCTGCAGTTGCTGTATTTGCCACTGCCGCTGTGCGGAGGAGACGTGCTACCCGGCGAAAAAATCGTTGTCTCCTTTCTGTGGATGGATTTAAACTGTAGTCCTAAGTGTCAGAAACCAGTGACTAGTACTGACCAAACAACTGGGACAGTAACATCTAAGGAAGGAACTGGCCAGTGCTGCCTGCTCCCCGGGGATGTGTCCACCAGCATGGCCAGTACCTCTGCTCAGCAGCAGCAAGAAAAATCCCGCTTTGTGATCCTTTATCTCTGCACAGTCCTTGCTGCTTAATGTTGAAATTGGGAATATCTTGCAGCTGTGCCACACAAAGTGTGCTCAGATGCCCTCAGATGTTCCTGCAGCGGACAGACCTGGAGAACAAGGGACAGCTCGGGCTGTGCTGTAGTGGCCAAGGGTCACTGCTGTTCCCTCATCCTGACGCTTGTTTCTCTACAGGTTTTGGTAGCTTGTCATTACTGAAAGGGGCAGAAGCTGTCAGCCACGATAGCTGTTGGACTGTCCTCGTACCTAGAAGCAAGGAGACAAGAGTCTGGCCACGTGCAGGTTTGGGATTTCTCCCCTTCCACCGAGCAAACGGGCCCGAGCCAAGAGGATTTATCACTGGATGCTTTCTCTCTGCTGGGATCTCTGGAGTGATAAGCTCCTGTGGACTGATGTGGGTTTTGGATGCTCCCTTCCGTCTGTAGCTGGGAATGTCATGGCCAGAAGGCTGCAGGCACCTGCTTCTCTCAATCTGGTGGATTACTACTTTTGGCATTATTCTGCTCGTGCTGTGGTTTTTTACTAAGCTGGTGGAACTGGCTTCGTTACATGCAATCTCCCAATTTACAGATGTGGAAAAGCAGCAGTTACAGCCCAGTGCTACAGAGCTTTTTCTGGGCTACTTACTCTGAGCATCGTGGTTTTGGACAAGGAGGAAGGAGTTCACACACAAGTGCAGGAGAAATCCTGCTGGCCTTAGGTGAGTCAAGAATATGTACTTTTCTATTTCAAATTTTTTTTTTAAAGCCTTCCGGTGGGACTGGCTGCTTAGAAAATCATATTTTCCCCCACTTGAGGCGGGGTGGAAAATGCCACATCTAGTAACCTGCTGCTCCTGGAGGAGTAGGAGAGTAGGTAGGCTTGTTTCTGAAAGCTGAAGTGGCTTTCCCCTTGTGTTTTATTCAAAACACTAACATTTTAGTACCATTTGAGCCTGAAATCCCTAATAAGAGTTTTCTTCCTGGAGTTATATGTAATGGAGAAAGAAGTTAAAGCGAGGCAGCTCCCAAGCAGGTTTTTCTTTCTTGCCCTGGCAAGGGGGAACCCCACTGGCTTTTTGAACTTTCGAGCGTGTTGAAGCAAGCGGTGGTGGCTGGGCGAGGAGCCTGCTGCCTGTCAGGCCGGCTGGGAACAATGTGTGGCTTGTCTCGAGGGTACCCAGGGGCTCCCAGGGCCTGGGTGGGTGCAGGGGATGAGCCGAAAGGCTTCCGTAAGCCTCCTTGCAGTGGAAAAATCCACTTTCCTGTGGAAGGTGGGGGACTGCTAAGGAAAGGATGCCAGGGCTTTGGCTTTTTGAGGGGACTTGTATCAGTGTTGACGTCTCGGGGTGTGATGTCGGGAGATGTGCCCAAGGGGCTTTGCAGGAGCAGCCGTGGATGCGTGAAGGTGTGTGGCCTGGGAGAATGGGGGGTTATTAACCGTGGGGATTTCTGCTTGGGTGGAGAATGAGCTGGTGATTCCTGTGCTGGGGAAGATGGAGTTTGCCCTCGCCAGCCCTTTGTGCTGCCTCTTGTCCAGAGGTAAATGCAATGGGTCCTGTCTTGGCTTTCCTCCGGGCCTGGCCTGCTAGTGACACCTGGCTTTTGTGGTCCCCATGTGTTTTGGTGGGGACGTGCCCCTTCGGTCCCTGTTCCCTGCACAGGCTCTAAGCCTGCAGCTGCTGGGGCCCTTTGTGCAGAACTGGGGTGGGCCCAGCTTGGTTTTGGGGCATGGAGGTGCTGTGGTCTGCCTTGCCCGGACTGCGTTCTCATGTGTGGGTGTTTGGTTTTTTTTTTTTTTTTTTTTGTAGTGAACATTCCTCTGGGAGAACAAGGCTGAAAAATGTGTTGAATAAAGGGAAACTTGCTGCTGGGACAGACTTGGGTTTTTAAAGTACATTTCTGCTTTTGGCTAGAGCTCATCTGTTCTTGTTTGCTGGTGATCAGTCAGTCCAAGAAGTCTGATGCAGGCTGGCAGGAATGTGAGGTCTGTGTTAGGCTCTGTTTGGGAGTACTACGGCTGTGGACATGCTCTGCAGCAGCAGGACTGTGCCAGTATGGCGAAAGCAAAACCAAGAAGAGCTGTAAAGCTGCTGTTTTTCCCTGTTTACTGAATGCAGATCCAGGGGGATGTGGTGTGTGCCCTCCCCAGAGGCAGCTCTGCCAGCTGAGTGCTCTTCAGGATGGATGGAGATGACAAATGCAAATGTGAAGAGCTGCGTGGCTGAAGCTTGCTTGATTTCTGTCCTCCTGCACCTGCGGACTTCTAACTATTTGAACAGAGCTGTGATGTTTTAATTTCCTTCCCTTGTCAGTGTCTGACTGGTGTTATAGCTCAGTCCTTTCCCAGACCCTCGGGATTGTGGCTTTTCCTTGATGAGCAGCTGAATGTACCACGTATTTGACTTCATCCCTTTGCAGTGTGACTCTCTTGACTTTCTGTCCTCAAACACAGGGAGGAGGGATGAGATTGTGCAGCTTAAGTGCTTGAGCTCCTTGGGTTAAGGCAAGCCAGAGGCTTTCCACCCGCAACTAGCACAACACAGATCAGGCCTGTTTGGCTCTGTACCACCTTCTGTGGTAAGGGTACAGGCTGATACTTGGAGTTTGGTTTGATTTTTGTCCATCTTCAGCTTTTTCTGAGAGATGCCCTGTGAATGGATGCCTTTGTCTGCTTGGTTGCTCTCTGTGTACATGTAATAAGTGATGCACTGAGACCTGCTTGCTCAGGGGACCTTGCGGGGAGCCCAGGTCCCTGGAGCACATCTCAGCCCTCCTGAAAGGGAACTTGGTTCCTCCTGGAACCGTGCTCCTTCCTGGATCCTGCATGGAGAAACTGCAGTCTAGCTGCAGAGATCCTTGCCTCTAGTTGCAGGCAGCAAAAGCTTTTTTATATGTGATTAAGTAGCACTCCCTTGTCATGCGCTCTGGCCTGTAAACTATTCCTTGTCAGAGGTACTTTCTCACTTTTAATTGCTCACCACAGAGCAGAATCTGTCCCTTGTCACAGGCTCTGGTATACAACCTCCAGTACAACTGAGGGATGCTCTAGGGAAGCCCAGTGCTGCTGGGGGGGGGACAGGATGAGACACAGGTGAGGTCTGTGCCCAGGGAACCCCCCATTCAAATTACCAAAAAGCTTTAGTGACTAATTAACCCTGCTCAGCTTCATACCCTGCATGCATCTCCACCTTGGATGGGTGGTTTCCCATGGCTGCCCCCCGCCCCTGCTCAGTCTCTTGAGGGTAGGGGGTACATCTCCTGTGAGGTCAGCCTGCTCCCCACTCCTGGGAGTGGGGTGTGTCATCCTCCCACCCTGGGCAGGGGGATGGGGGGTGCAGGGGGAACAGGGGGATGCTAGGGCTCAGGGGGACCTGGGACCAGGTAGGGGGGATGCTGGGGCTTGGGTCTTGTGGAGGAGGAACACTGGGGCCTGGACAGGGGGGTGTTGGGGTTCAGGGAGACCTGAGACCAGGTCTGGGGGATGCTGGGGCTTGGAATCTGGGGAGGCAGAGGGGGGGAATTCTGGGGTTCAGACAGAGGAATCCGGGACTGGGGGGGAGAGATGCTGGGGCTCAGGGGGACCCGGGACCAGGCGGTGGGATGCTGGGGCTTGGGACTTGGGTGTGTGGGATGCTGGGGTTCAGGGGGATCCGAGACCGGGGGGAAGAGATGCTGGTACCCCTGTAAAGATGCTGGGATTCAGGGGGATCTGGGACCAGGTAGGGCGGATGCTGGGGGTGGGATGCCGGGGTTCAGGGGGATCCGGGACCCCCGAGGAGGGGGGGGATGCGGGGGCTTGGGGAGATGCCGGGACGCCCCGGAACGCTCCTGGGTGCGCGCTGACATCTGCCGGCAGCGGCGGGCAGGGCCGGGCGGCGGCACGGGGCGGGGCCGCCAGGGGGCGCGCGAGCGCCGGCAACACGGGGCGGGGCCGCCAGGGGGCGCGCGAGCGCCGGCAACTCCGCCCCCCCCCCCCTTGCGGAATTCACCTCTGTTCGAGGCTGGGGAAAGAGGCAAATTTAGCCCCCCTTTTTCGGAGTAAAGAACCCCAAATTCTGCGCCCCACCCCCAGAGGGTGGGGCCCACTCGCAGCCGTGTCTCCGTGGTGTGAACTGCTGCGGGTATTGCGGGGGGGGGGGGTGGAGGTCCCAGTGCTGCACACTGGTGGGGCTCCTCGGACTGGAGGGAGAGTGGAGAAGGGGAGGTGGTGGTTGCTGGGGGGGGTGTGTGGGATATTTATCTGGGGGGTTTCTTAGTAAGTGTAGGCAGAAAGTCCATTTTCAGGCGTTTTTGGGCAGTAGGAGGGAAGGTGACTGCGGAGAGCGCGGTGTGTTTGCAAACTGCAGAAGCGTTCAACGCGAAGGAGGGGCAGCACAGATGCGTGTTTGCACCCAGTGGATTTCTAAGGTGAATCCCTGCTCAGAAAAATGAGGCTGAGAGAAAGTGTGAACGGCGTGCTCTTGTTTCTGATGCTTAGTGGTGCTTTGACAGGTGGGACAAATGCTTCTTGTGTTTCTTTCCTCTTAATATCTCCTTCCTGCAGCCTTGAGCTGGGAGGCTTGCTTCAGCTACCAAATGGTTGCTTGATTTCCAAAAAGTCAGCAAGCCAGGAGCTTTTCCTACCGTGGCCAGCTTCGGGTGGCGAATGGCACCAATTCTGAGAAGAGGCTGGAGACTGTGACTACAGCCTGGGCAGCCTCTGTGCCGCACCTGAGTGTTGGAGAACATCTCAGGAGCCCTCCTGATCCTTCTTCTGCTTTTCAGCCTCTCCTGGGCGTGTGTGCAGGAGTTTGGGGGGGGTTCTTGTTCTGGCTGTACGTGAGGAGCCTGTGGCCAGGCTGCCTCGCACACGGAGGGGTTGATCCCACCTGCAGGTATGTGCTTCAGGAGGCTCAGCTCTTCTTAGGTTGTCCTTGATGGCACGTAGGAGGTAAAGTGGAAGGTGGGGAATTATTAGGAGAGGAAAAGAAAGCAACACAAGCCTCCTGCGCTGTGTCTGTGCTCATTGCCACTGCAAAGGCCACATGCTGTCCTTGCTCCCCTCTGTCCTTCTCAGAGCTGAAAAAGCTGGGGAAAAAGGTGTGAAGGGGGGGGGCATGGAGCCCCCAGCTTCCTGGAGGGAAGCTGAACAGGGCAGGGCTGCGCCAGCACCCGACAGCTGAAGTGGGATTTGGCGGGGGGATTAAATTGGCGTGTGCTATGGGAAAAAAGTCGGGATGAGGCGGGAAGGATAGTCACTTCCCAGTGCCCGGGGAGGCAGAGGCTCCCGCCGGGGTGGGGACTGGCTGGAGCCCCGGCCCGTGGCCGCTGGATGGCAGCGGCGCTCCGCGGTACCCCCTGGCCCGGCATCTCCCCCCCATCCCATCCCATCCCTGGGCTGGCATCATCCCCCGCTCCATCCCATCCCATCTCCAACCCGGCATCCCCCCCTCCATCCCATCCCCGGGCCGCTCTGCTTCACTGGTGGCTTTTATTGCCTGCCCCTTCCCACCCACCCAAAACAGCTGGTTACCCAGGGAGAGGGTGCCAACCCCTCGGGGTCAGGGGGGAGATAGGTGGGAGCCAGGGTGCTGGTGGTTTGGGGTTTAAAGCAGCCTGTGAGATGTCCTCCTCTTCCCCTCCTGCTCCCCAAAAGCGCTGCCCAGACTGAGCACACCCTGGGTGCTTGGGGCGATGTCCCCGCGAAGGCTGGGTGCCAGGGGTAAAACTCCAGGCTTGC